TTTTAAAACGGCCACTCTGCTGGCCCCTGTAGTTTTTTGCAATCATTACTGAAACAGGAGTTGTTGTGGACTATTTTCAGCAGCGAATGAATCCACATTTTAGATAAAATTAGATAATCCCTTATTGCTCCCCCAGGGTCAAAATTTCTGTTCGGTGTTACAGCAGCACAAAGACAGAAATAATTACAGTAGATAGAGAACCTATATTAATAAAATCAATCAATCACAAATCATGAATGCCTGGGTTCCCATTAGACCAGTGGTTCCCTACCTGTTTTTTAAGAGATCCCTTTTCTATCAAGTAACACATTTCATGGATATTTCATATTATGTTCAATGCCTAACAGTACAGCACAACTAATAAACTGTACGATGAATTGAGCAGATTATATCCTGTGAATATTACATCATGGAGTTTTAACAATCTATTTTTAACAATCAAATATACCTAATAGGCTTCTTTTTTGACAAGTTCAGTGTTTTCTGCTCCATGTTGCTAAAATGTTGCTTAAAATCATGGCTTCACAACTCCTTGTAAAGCTTTGGCAACCTCTATAGGGGTATCGACCACCAGGTTGGGAACCACCACATTAGAAAGCCAGTATTAGGGACTGTGATGGGTACAGTTTGACAGTCCTAGATCAGAGCTAGGCACTTCATTGTGTTCAAGGATGGTAACAATATGAGTGTGATTTGATTATTTTATTCAATGTTGGTCACTCAGCTTCCTACTTGGAACTTACTACTGCTCTCATTCTCTCTCTCTCTCTAAAGCATCATGCTTTCTGTCGTTCATCTTTTACCACTCAAAATGGACTTGGACCTGTTGAGTGCGAGTTCTATCCCCCAGCGGTAAGTCCACAGTGTAAACATACAGCACAGCGTATGTTCACCTAATCTGCTTCAAGCTAAAAATCGTAGTCGTCTCTCCAAAACTCCACTTCTTGTGGAGTGTCTTGTTCTACATTATTAACTCACTCTGTAACCATAATTAGGAAATCAGTAATATAGTCATATCATTGAAAAATACATTTCAACTAACTTTTTACTCTGTTCTTAACAGAACACTACTGCCCTCGGCCCTGGTGAGCAGGAGCCTGTATGTAGGCCCCATCATGGTCGTCCACATGACCGCCCTGGCGATAGAGGATCCCGTCCCCATAGTCATGGGCCCCCTTCCGATGCTGGCGATAGAGGATCCCGTC